ACCTTACCAGTTTCTGCTCAGGGATGGGAGTAGAGCGGGTTTTGCTGAACTGAGTTCACAGTCTCTTCCATCTTTTTTCACATTTTTGGTATAAAACTACTTGCTTCCTGTTCTACCAAAGGACTCATTTGGGGAAAATTAAAAGGCTTACCAACTCCTCATTCAAATTCTTTTTACCCCAGTACAATACTTAGTTTTAACTAAAAAAATAGCTTTTATAGATACAAGGCAACATAGTTAAATTGAGATTAAGTCTACCTATCAATCTACTGAGTATAGACCTACCTGGAACTTTCACCTGTGGCATTTTCCTACCACTTCAGTAAAGTTTTCAGGAACTGACTTTGGAATAGGCAAGTGGAAGAGTCACAGCCAGCCAGGGTTCATTTTATTATTTATCTGTGCTCTTGTAACCCAACTCCTCTTCTCTAAAAGGAATGAACAAGTAAGCAACGAACTATTTAAAGCTGCAGTCAGACTAACTTTTCAGTGCAACCAATGATGCCGTGGACTTATTTGGGGTTAATTGAAATGTACATTGAAATAATCACAAATGAAATACTATGGGCAGCATCCTATGTAGGGCTCTGGCTGGTATCAATGGGCACTCGTCTTTTCTCCTTGAGCAACATTTAGGTCTCTTTCCTTTTAGAGGAGTGCACTAATCTGAATGTGTGTCTCACTGCATTGGCTATGTACCCCATTTAGCAATTTTTGAACCAAAACAATAAGATATTATTATAAACCCACACACATACATATATATTATACAAATATTAATGATATATTAATACATATATATTCTTTATTATGAAAGTATTTTTGCATTTTGCATATACCAAATGTGACATCTTGTTTTATTTTTATTATGCATTTGACAGATTCATAAAGTATGGTTACTCAAATGTTCAGTATGAACTACAATATTAAAAACCATAATCAATAACCACAGCCTTCTTTCCTCGTAAACAAACAAAAAAATAATCAGGAAGAATTGATGCTCAACAGCTGGACATTGCAATAAAAAAGGTTCTGCTTCCAGCCACAGTTACCCCAAATGAAATAAAATCTAAGCTATAAAATAGACTGGGCTATTGCATCATTCTAAGCTGTAATGAAGTCTGGTGAGTTTTGATTTAAGATAGTTTGTGAACCAGTTCAACTGTAGTTTATTCAACAGACCATGGCTCAGCTGCTAGTACACCTATCTGGAAGGTTTATGTTCCAAAGGTCTAATGCCATATAAATTGAGATCTGCACAATTTGAGATTATTTTAGCTGACGAATAGCTAAATGTTGTGTTTATCTGCTATTGCTACTTTTTCTTTTTTTGCAGTAAGAACAGAAGTATTAGTAGCTCCTGATGGAAGAGCATAGCTCTTGGAAGAGCTATGCTAGATGGAAGTAGCTGGTGACTGTCCACAATTCAGAGCAGTGTTTCTGAATCTTGACAGTTTAACAGGTCTGGACACCAACTCCCAGAATTCTTCAGGCAGCACTTTTTTAAGGGACTGAAAAAAATTAGAAGCATTATCTAAATACTAAATCTGTCACCTAAAAAGGATACTTTTTTTTCCTCTGAAAGGATATCCTGTCAGAATATGTCTAGGATACTTCCACCCCCTCCAATAGTTTTATTTTATTGCTTGTCTGGAAGGAGAAGATAAAGATCCCATCAAAGGATTTCTGTTGACTTGTTAGTCAAATTTTACTTTAGCATCAATTACAGATCAGCATTCTCCAGTTTGCCCAATAATAATAATAAGCTAATTTAAGGGCTGTAGGTCAGGTCAGATAGGAAACATAGCTCTCCTTATCAAGATTTTCTTAATCTGTGCTCTCCTGGCATCGCCTACCCGAGAATGTTGCCTCAGGAGTCTCACCACAATATATGCAGATAATATTTAGGGTTTAGATGATCTGCAGAACTACTTTTTACTCTATAAAATCTCTTTCACATCAGCTACAATTGAATACAGGAATCACAGGTTACTGTTCTCTCAAAGACGTTAATTATTTGTTGGAATTTCCTCAAATATTCTTCCATTTTCAAATGCAATTGGAATCATTTCTAAATCCTAGAATTCAGGCTGAGCTCAATATGTTAATTTACTGAATCCCTGCAGTCCAGTCCCACATGTCATCCTTGGGAAGACTTTCCCAGCTTTCTCAATCCATTTTCAGAAAACTATCTGCCCACTATAGCTGGCGGTAAAACTACATTTGCTTCTAATATTTCTGCAGTTAATGTCAAAGGTATTAAAACTGCATCTGAAACCAAGAATGACCTTCAGGCTTTACAGTAACACTAATTCGCTTTTGAGCTCTTGTGATCTCTTTTATTCAAAAAGTCAGATGAAGTAGAGTAGGGTCATCAGAAAAAGAACAGAAAATGTGTGGAGAAATCTTTTGGAGGTTGTGGCCTTGTGATAGAGAACTACGAAGATACACCATTCCCCTTGTTATCTATACAGCCCTAGCCTTATTGTCATTTTAGGAAAGCATATATCTCTTCCAGCAGACTTTGGATGATTTAGGACTCCGCACTGACAGGGATATTTTTTATTCTTGGCTGTATTCTGTATTTCCCTCCAACATCGTAATATTGCTTAGTATCTTTGCTGGTTTTTTGTCACTGTTTTAATATTTGTTGCTTAAGAGTTGCTTGAATGATTGAGACAGCTTATAAATTGAACGTATTTGATTCTTAAGATAGCAACAATTCTCCAATCTACATCTCTATGGCCTAGAACACACATGGTGCTAATCCACATACATTCCGTGAACTGTTACTGTGATTTATAAACCATAGTAAACGTTTGTTAATTGATTAACACAGTGGAGGTGGTTGATCGATTAATAACAGATCCCACCTCTCCCCATCCTGCTCCTGCCCTCCCCATCTTTTAATTGCACTAGTTTTTAATTTAGATTTTACCTTTTACGATTGTAAGATGGCCAGTTACCTTAATTTTAAAAATAAATATTTGCAAATCCATTCCTATTCCCACATCATTCAAAGAGTGTTCATCCCAAATTGTCAGTTATCCAGTCCCAAAGGTGCTTTTTCTGGGGACTTCGTTTTTTCTTTGAAGATGTTTAGTTTCTTTTCACAATTTGGGATGTATACCGTTTGAATGGTGTGGAAGTAGGAATGGATTTCCAAAGAAAAAAATTGCAGACTACAGGAACCAGGAGCACTGCTCAGGTGACCCTGAGGACACAAATAGCCTCCAAGTGATTCAATAATGTGTGTGTGTGTGTATGTATATATATGTGTGTGTATATGTATATAGACGTATATATATATAGATGTATACATATATACTGTATGTATATATATATATCTTCAAAGAAAAAACAAGAAAGTCCAGTTGCCTACAAAAATAAATACTAGGCATTTTTTGATAAAATTGTGTTAAGTATTCAATTTGTTGGTAGATGTATAGCAGTCGGTTTTCTTTTTCTGTTTTTGGTTACTGCAGTTTTTTCTGCTTATCTGAACAATATTCTTACACAGCTGCTTTTATGGGAGTTTGGGTTGTTACTTCAATAATGGAATACTTGATTAGGGTGAGTAGGTTTTGGTTAGTATGAGGAGGTTTTTGACATTAGGGTTTCTAATTTGCTGCCATTTCTTCTGCTGATATTTTTATTTATATTTCATATTTCTTAACCATCCATCTCCCTCAGATATCCAGGAAGGGTAGCATATTGTTTTTTTTTCCTTGTGAGTTGTATTCCTTTGAAGATGATTGTTTCATATGCCTTTTCCAGTTGCTCCTTTATGATGGTATTTTATTATTTTTCTATATTTCTTTTAAAAATTACAGTAAATTATATTTTAATTATATCAAAATTGAAAATTTTAAACTTCTGCTTCTTTCAAGGCCAGGATTTATTGTCTGCAAGATAGAAATAATTGGTAAGATATTTCTAAAATCGTAATGAAATACAGGGTTGAACTGTTGGGTTTTGACTTCTGAACATATTTTCCTGCAAACATTTCATTACCATGCTAGATAGTATCATCAGTACACAGTACACAGGAGGGTGGAGCTTGCTGATTGTTTATATATAACAGCTTGGCTAGGATTATAGTTTCTTCCTTGATAGGGTATTGTTCCTTCCAGGATTTATTAGATGCTGCTTCCTGCATATCTGACATCTAAGTAAGATGTTATCGGGGCCATTTATTTCCAACCTTGGTTTCAGATTGTATCTTTTAAACTGTAGGTGACTATGTGCCATCAAGTCATTTTCAGTTCTTAGTGACCACATACATTTTCCCCATGACTATCAATCCCTAATTGGAAGATCTTTTAGCTCTTCCAATGGTACACTCATCCCCATTGTAACTGAAACCATCTGTCTTGCTACTGGCTGTCATCTTATACCTTCCACTTTTTTCAACAAGAAAGCTGGATGGATAACCTGGGCTAGTCATGCTCTCTCAGCCCAAATCATTTCACAGGGTGGTTTTGTGGAGAAAATAGGAGGAGGAATGAGTATTAAATAGCACACTGTGGTTTCTTGCCCTGCATATAACTTTCTCATGTGGTCAATGAGTTGTTCTGGAATTTCCATTATTTTTTTAAGGAAGAAGAATCTGAAATTCACCTATACTACAAAATGTAATTTAGAAAAGAAAAAAAATAGAGTAGGTGGAACATAAATTTTCTTTTTCTATTTTTGACAGAAATGTATATTTCTGCCATTCTACAAAACCAACAAAGTATTTTTTAAGTTTTCAAATATTTAGCTAAAGATCTGTGACTGACCACAAGACTTGGGACTGCTTTACTGAACAATCTAAGGATCTGACCAGCCTAAAATGTACTATAATTATTCAAAGATCTCCAGGTGTTTTGAAGGTGGTCCAGTCATTTGAGAAGGATTCACCTTGTAATAGTTACAGGTTCTGGTAATTATGAATTACCCACATTTCACAATACCAAGTAGGGGATTTTGTTTCTGACCCAATTACTGAACAAACACACTAAAGAAATATTTGTATATTTTAGGGGAAAAAACAGTGTTTGCTTAAACACATTCAAAAATGATTACATTACAATGGAATTAGATTTAGTGCTTTGACAATATGTCAACCTTTAACATTTAGTGGTCTGGAAATCCAGAGAGTAAGTTCATGAAATACCATACAATGGAAGCATGGACCATTTTTTTAAAATCCACACAGCATCTATTGTCCCATATTAACCGTGGTATTCAGGTATGAGACCTAAAAATAAGCATAACTAAAAGTGAAATCAGGTGTTACAGCAAATATTACAGCATTCTTAAAATAAGTCACTTTGTTATCCAAATAAACATAAATTGAGAGAATATCAGCTCCAGAAGTTAAGAATTATTTTTAGCTGCCTCTGAATTATGATCAGAATCTTGACTTCAGTGTTTCATCACTGATGACCTTCAGTAATATACATAGCATCTTGCCATTCATTCCTGTTTTGTCCATGTAAAATAGAGCCTAACCATGTCTAGGCTCTATCATATATTATGATAGATGAGTAAGAGACTAGCAATATATTTATGATATTTAATCACACATAAAAAGATGGAATTTTTAAAGTCTCTCTAGTGAAGTTTGACTCCTGATGGCTATATGGCAATAGTATGAAAGTGGGTGAAAGGGGAATGGTTTGTTGGATTTTTTGTCTAAATAGTTTTGTGATACTAACTCCAAAATTAGCAAATTGCTGTGATTAGGAATGTCTAATTGTACATATATTTCCAGGAATTTTAATTTATTAGGCAACAAAGGCACTTTTGTTTTCAAACAGTCCAAATGTATCTTACCAAAGTTTAGAGATCAATATAGGTTTTTTTTTAAAATCACAGATAGCAGGTAACACAAGAAACTGACCATAAGATTCTGTGGATCAATTACATTTTCATATGGGCACAAATATATCTGAAACAGTATATTAAACATTCTGAAACATTAAACAAGACAATACACGCATGACACAGCAGGCAACTTACAGAAGCCATTCATCCTGTGAAGGAAACCATTTCCTTTAAAAAGGATCAACATTTTGTCTAAGTTTGCATACTACTATCCTGCTATATCAGGCATATCCTTTTAGTAATGGAAAATGTTTAAAAATATTAAGCAGATTAAATACTGTAATCTTGTTTTCTGTTCAACAGTCCAGTAAAATTAATATGTATGGCACCTACAACAAATTATTAGTGTAATTTTAACAGCATTATTATAATCAGTTAGAAGAAAAACAAGGACCTGTAAGTGGAAGCCCAGCTTGCAATAGATTTTTTTCCCATATCTAATGTTATGAGCAGAGTTAACTAAAAGTCCAACTTGTTTTGGAAAGGGCTTCTGCAGATTTACATGAATCAATGAGATTCTTTTCTAAAATAACAACAAAGATATCCCTGATCAGCTGAAGAACATGGTTGTAAAAGTTATTTTAAAACACTACTTTTTAAATCTGCAACCAACAGACACTACCAGCATATACCATACTCTTATTCAAGACTACGCACTTATTTTAGTTATACATCTGTTCATGATAATTTGTGATCAATAATTCTATAGAAATAATCTATAGATTATTAATCTGTGTGCTTGCTTTTCTAAATTCCCTAATATAGATAGTCCTCGATTTACAACCATTCATTTAGTGACTAGTTGTGACTGTTCAAAGTTACAATGGCACTGAAAAAAGTGACTTTATGAATCTCTTAACTGCCTTGCTTAGCAGTAGAAATTTTGGGCTCAATTGTGGCTGTAAATCAAGGACTATGCGTACATGAGATTTAGCTTCATATTTGTCACTGCTGTGTGTTTTTTCAAATGTTCTCCATTGAATCCCTTTTGTACTTAGCGCTACAGAAAGAGACAAATAGTGATCTGGAGAAGACAGCAGACCACTCATGAATAAATATATAGTTATGGCCCAGGTTAGCCACTACAACATCCTCTGCATATAATACAAATGTAAGTGGAGGAAATTTCAAGAATTGAAAGACGGTGAGAATTACAAATGTTACCAACTTTTAGATAAACGTTTTACACGCTGAAGCAAACAGGTGTTTGAAAATTGCTTCCATCACCCAAATTAGCTGATTTCACCTACTTCATTCTACAAACTGCTTCTTAATTAACCTATGTCTCACTTGTATTAACATCAGTTAATACAAGTGAACCCCAGATGGAAAATTACCATATATTTGGTAATATGTAAGTAATATATACCAAAAATATATTACTATGTGCTTTTCAGATTCATTGACAAACATGCAGAACACTGAGCCACAAATGACATTTTATATTCAGGCTCCTGGAATTACAATTTCCAAACTGCAAATGCTAACCAAGAAGTGTGATTTCTCAATAATTCTTTTAAGCCCAACATTTCGCTGTACTTCTATTTAGGCAGTCCCACATTCTGCAGTAGTGCTCCTGTAATTTACACAGCTGGCTGACTTACAGAAATTAAGCAAATTACACTATCTTCACCAGTATATGCCACATATCTACCACAGAACAAAGAAATCACACTAAGAAAAACTGAATGCTATGTAGCATTGAGCAACATGCATAGGGACTTTAAACAGTATCAATTTATTGCTCAGGTGACATAAATTTCTCGAGAAAATGCTCCATAAGTTATATATTTAGGAAATAATTGTGAACTTTCTTACTTGGAGATTAGACAGTTTGGATTAAGTTGAGATAGTGGTTGTCTATCCAACTTAGAATGTATGCAGTAAAATGGCAATATTGTAAACCAGTACACCACTTAATGACCACAAACTCAATTTCTATTGAAGTCATTTCTGTGCTTCAAAAAACATAACCACATTAATCAGATATGTAAAACAGTCACACAGACAGCTTTTATATCACCTCACATCATTTTAAGCATCTACTTTCAGTGAAGGCAGTTCACTCACTCACTCACTTGAAAGTGAGATGATACACATACATGGGATTCAGGACCAGATTTTGGATACATCATATAAATAGTAATCCAATCAACTACTCCTCAGCATTAGAGAAAGGAAAACTCACAGTTCCTTTTCTTTTATGATAGAGGCATGGAGGCTACTGAGGAATCCAGCTCCATATTTTGTAAGGATAAATGTACAGTATCGATTTAATCCTACTTTTAAGCAGCAGGAAAATTAAATTCACCCTCTATTCCTCTAGTTCCATTTTACCCTAGCTCTTCACCTCAAGTTTCACTGCACAGCAGTAGCCTGGAGAGAGCTTTCAAAATGAATAATGCCAATAAGTTGACTCCCTAAATGCATTTCTTCACTAGTAAGCCTAAAAACACTGTGCTTGACAAAGGTATCAAATGAGTAAAAAGCTTAACTAAAAATAGAAGTGCAGAAATAGCTGAGATAAAACAGATTTTTTTTCTACACAAACTTCACACAATCATTTTTTATGACTGATAATGGAGTAGCAGCTGTTGACAGTATCCACAGCCAATAAGTGGTCCTGATGAAAACACCAGTACCTTCAAGCACAAGGTAATTGGAATGTATTATATTTAATTGCTGGAAAATAGCAATTGACTGCTATTTCCTCAGGAGAATCTTAATCTCAAAGTGCTTTTCAACCAATGATGCGAGGAACTTTGACGACAAAGCCCAGGACTAGTAAATATCTTCTGCAAAAGTTCCCACATACAGTTCATTGGGAAGGATAAGACAATAAAGCTGAGCATAGATAATACTGGGTTAACACAGACCAATGAACTGAGTCAGCTTGAAACATTCAGGATGGGTCAGCTGGGAACCAGAGCTGCAACCAGCATGATAAGGCTTAAAGTCTAGCTTGCCTTTGTAAAGAGGCACTTGATAATCAAATAATTTTACTTTTGTTATAAAAAGGCCAGAATTAAAGAGGTTAGACTAGATGTGATTAACCTAATGTACAATAGGAATATTTAAGTACATAGTACAGGAAATATTATCTTGGTTTAAAATGGTGTACAGGAAATCAAGCGTAATGTTACCATACAATGCTATGCAATGGCTTTTTCAGAATAGCATGATCACAATTCATTCCAGCCTTCTTTCCAGAAAATGAGATGTTATTTCTTTCAAGGCATTTGGCCTCTATAGTTCCCATATAATCAGTTTCTCTGTTTGAACCTACCCAAGAAAGGAAAGTGAAATATCCCACACATAACATATGAGACTTTCTTTGCATGCTCAACTGAGCAAAGAGGTAGATGTTCAGAAAGAGTATCTTCTGGTGCTGATAGAATGTTTTAGTATTGATCAATTGGCAACTTGCATGATACTGGCCAAGGCATCGTCATGAAATGCAACACAGTGGAATTAAGATTCAACTTTGAACTTGGATGGAGGATTCAAAGGCAGCTGAAATAGATAAATATGTTTTATTAGTTCTGTTTTGTTAGACATAAAATATTACTAGCATAGTATATTTGTCTCAGAATGTCTCTTCAAAATCCAAGAAAACCTACACATTTAATTTTGATTTCCAGACATTGAACTAGTGCATGACAATTTCAGGCAACTGAAATTCCAAAGGCCGGTAGGCTTACAAGCACACATATCTTATCATCAAGAGTATTCTATCCAAACTGCTAGAACTTTCATTTTTATAAAATATAATGCAGAGACTTGGTACCAATTGCATCAACTTCAATTGATCTGCAACATAATAAAGCAACATTCTCTACCAGTAATGATGAGAGTACCAAGTGCTTTTTACTAAATCCTTTAAGGTAAATGAGTTTTGTAGAGGCATATCCAGGGTCTTATCAGCTTGATGACAGAAAAGGATATACATTTCAAATTATCTTCAAAATACCTAATAGTTCAAAAATGTTATAACATACCTCAGTGTTTCTCAACTTTGGTGACTTTAAGATCTGTGGACTTCAAGACTCCCAGAATGTGCTGGCTGTGGAATTCTGTGAGTTGAAGTCCACAGATCTTAAAGTTTACCATGGTTGAGAGACACTGCTGTACCATATTTGTCAAACAAAAGCCATCCTACCTCATCACATCACAAGACATGACACCCCCATGCAGCCTTGATTCCCATCTTCATTACTGTTGAGCCTTTTCATTCGATACTGACGGATTTCTCTAACCAATGTATAAAAAGCATCTTCAACACCCTGAATGGAAAGTTGAGAAACATATGGTCTTAAGCAAGTAAATTATTTCCTATACTTTATTTTCTCACATTCCTCCTGAAAAACTCTATACTGAATTTAATGTTCTTCATTAATGTTAAGAATCCTCCTCTATTCTTAAAGAACTAGGATTTTGCAGCCCAAACATAAACTCTTACACAGTTTAATTCACAATTAAAAGTAAAGAAAACCTAAATGCATAAGAACTTATTAAGTAACAGAAAATATTTATGGAAGTGGACTGCACTTCTTCAAAATTCAGCTACTAGATTAGTAATTAATATAAATATGCAAACAGGACTAGACAGTGTGGTTCTTAGAAATTAAAAACTGAAATAACCTACAGGATGGCTGCTCCTACCCATAGGTTTTAATGTTATGTCTTTCTTCTCAATCAGATTTATCTATATACCTAACAATAACTCTAGCTATTTTCTTAAGATATGAGCAGAAATACAAGAATTCATTACCTGTCTTGTTTTGGCAGATGTCTCAATGAATGGAATACCATAGCTCTTTGCTACTTCGTGAGCCTGCTTGGTGTCTACTGTTCTTGTTGGTAAATCACATTTGTTTCCCACTAATACCATTGGTACATCTTCTGAATCTTTCACTCTTTTAATTTGCTCTCTAGGGAAAGATACGATAGGAAAAAAGAAAATGAATCTTTCCTCAGAATGATGGGATATGTTAATGGGAGAGTGAACACATACTTTGTGCTTTTTTGTGACACTGTTTCTGTTGTCACTGATGAACAGTCTAATCAAGATGAAACTGACTAATAAAAGACTTTCAATCCTGAGGGAATTATTCTGAGGGAATATTCTATTGAGGGAATTAAATCCAATATTATATTGCATTATTTTCTAGATAAAAGGGGATAGAAATGAAATCAAATTTACCTGCTACTATGCTAGTAAAACACTGAGGTTGAAAAGATATCCTTCAAGTCTATTTTATGGTTAACTTCATATATATATATTTTCTAATGCAACCCCTGGGCCGAGGTCTATTCTAAACTGGCTGCAAGTGGAAGCTCCACTTGAACAAGTGGTGGAAAGCGCACATGCGCACTCCACTCAGAGTGAAATAGAGCTTTGCATGTGAGCACTCTCCGCTCAAGCGCTTTCCACTCGCATGAATGGAATTTTATGCATAAGCGCTAGTGCCTGTTGCTCACGAGTGGAGTTTCATGCGTGGAGTTTGTGCATAAAGCTCCATTCACACGAGTGGAGCGTGTGCAGGCCCACTTCTACCAATGGAGCTGTGCATGTGCGTGTGTGCCTACCACTCACATGCCCCCACCTGTTCCAGGCCACCAAAGTGGAAAGGTTGGGGACCACTGTTCTAATCCATTCACTAACCACAACTAGTGTCCAGTACATATTCAAAGTTGCATTATATTATTATATTAAGTAAAATATCTCAGCAGTTATTAATCATTGCCTGAGTAATCATCTCGCTAGTGGACAATGTGCCACTTGATCTTATCTCTTGTTATTGATAAGGAAAACTTACCTGTAAAGATTTATATCTGCAAATGATTTGCTGTTGTTAATGGCAAACACACAAAGAAAGCCTTCCCCAGTTCTCATATATTGGTCCCTCATGGCACTATATTCCTCCTGTCCTGCCGTATCCAGGATATCTAGCAAACAAGTCTCTCCATCAATAACAACTTGTTTGCGGTAAGAATCCTATGGAAAATCAATGCAGTTTCAAAAGTAAATATGCAATCATTCAATGATAATAAAAAAAACTATTTTTGAAATTATAATTGAGATAAGATGAGAAAGGGTAGAATTTTAAAAAATCAGTAATCATAGTAAACATCATATTCATATTTAATTTCTCCCCATTTTAATTTTTTTTACATCACCTCAGTTTCTTTTGTGACATGGCTTATAACATCAAAACTTAATATGGCTCTGTTTGATTATTCATCCTTACTTTTATCCTACAACATCTTCTGCCGCATGCTTGCTTAACAAGTCTTTTCCAATTAATTTTTCAAGGCAGTGAAAATAAATATCAGAGACCAGCGATTGACAGCAAAAAGTGATAAAACAAAATGTTTAAGTATCAAGGACAGCTTGTTTAGTATGCTAAGATGTTAATATTCTCAAAGCCTTACCTCAATAGTAGGATCATATTCATCTACGAAGTGATTCTGGATAAGCTGGATGGTCAGGGCACTTTTTCCAACACCCCCAGCTCCTACTACCACCAGTTTGTACTCAGTCATTGCCTTCCTCAGAGCCCTGTTGGTAACACAAATATATATGATGCTATGTACAAATCATCCTCCATTAAAATATCCTATATAACAAGAATGTATACTGCCTTGAAAAGAGGCAGAGATGAGTGGCATATAAATTTGATAAATAAAATATAATTCAATGTTACATTTTTTAAAAAAAGTAATTAGGAACAATACAAAATAAAACACACTTATCCAAACATATTAGTAACAATGACCACTTTACCATAAGTATAAACAATTTTAGCAACTCATCACCTTCTCTTAAAATACAACAAAAATCTCATCTCATCTCTTATTTTCTTAATCTCTTATCTTTGCAGTTTGTATTATTCTCTCTCTTTCTCTTAATTGGCACCTGGCACATTTCTGGGATAGACAGGAGTAAAAAAAAAGGGATTAATTTACATATCCAGATCTTCCATTCTTTTAGGACAGATATGGAAAATACGCAGTCTACAGGCTGTATTGTAGCACCCCAAAGTTATCCCATCAAGATTCAATGCAAAATGATTTATTTACAGGGATGCAACATTTTTGTTTTATAGAATTATGCATGAGAATGGAAGCAGAAAGCTTCAACCCAAAAGAAAAACAAAGAAAAATAAGGATCACATTGTTAAGAGATTGTCCATTCCTAATGTGGATGTTTAAAAGTTTAGAATGCAGAACAGTATTCCTCAGGACTACATGGCACAAGTTTCATGAAGAGTTTAGAAGTACCTTATTACTCCCTGGGCAGATCCTGCAAGCAGGATTTTTTTTAAAAAAAATGGTGTCCCAAATGCCCAAACCTGAATCAATTCAAGTTATGGAAGTTGCTTTTGATATTAGGACACATGCTTCCTATAGCTCTCCTGGCAATTAAATTCCTATCAGGATAACCATTTCAGCAGTAAATCCAAGACTGCAATCTTATCGCATTTCCTCAAGATATTCCAGAGTTCTCCAAATGGGGGCAGCACTTGTCCTAAATTTTGTTTAAGCATGTAAGGTATATACCACAACCTTATTCAAGATTTTGGGACTTCCTCTCTTCATCAAAGTCATCAATCTATCCAATCCATCTAGTCAATCCCGTCTTCCCTAACTAGGTACTACCACTTATGAAGATTTTTTTCTCTCTCTCTCATCTAGCACTAATATAATGCCTTAAATTCAGATCTGAAGTCCAGCAAAATAATAGAATAGAATAGAATTCTTTATTGGCCAAGTGTGATTGGACACACAAGGAATTTGTCTTTGGTGCATATGCTCTCAATGTACATAAAAAGACAAGATACACTCATCAAGAATCACAAGGCACAACAGCCAGTGACAGTCATACGGTACAATAAGCAATCAAATCATACTAGGAAACAATCAATATGAGTATAAATTATTCTTCTTTCTACCCCAGCTACTCAGACTGGCATAACTATATGTCACTTTTACACAAAACTCTCAACCAAAACAAATTTGCTTTTCAAGACTACATTTGCAAAATTTTAATAAGCACCCAAGGGAAAAAAATTATTTTTGTCATTTGGTGTATCCTAAACACAGAAAGATCACACATGAACAATTGATCTGAACCCAATTTTTAACTCTAAGGGATACCAAATACATATTTACCCTTCCTGCTAAATAAATAGGTAAATGAGTAGTGTACTTTGTATTGAACCTATGATATTATAACATATTACGCTATATTACGCCTGAGTGGCGTAAGAGGCTAATGCCTCCGACTAAGGCAGCATTTAACATCCAGCTGCCTGCAATTACTGCGAATTCAATTCTCACCAGGCTCAAGGTCGACTCAGCCTTCCATCCTTTCTAAGGTGGGTAAAATGAGGACCCGGTTTGTGGGGGCAATAAGCTGACTTTGTATACAATATACAAAAGTATGAAGGCTATTGCTTAACGCATTGTAAGCCGCCCTGAGTCTCCGGAGAAGGGCGGCATATAAAAATAAATAAAATAAATAAATAATAAATAAATAACATAACCTCTACACTGCCCATCTCACCAAAGTGCCTCTGAGCAGTTTACTCATATCAGATTGGACCGATGGCAAAAGGATTCAAATTCATATTCTGCGAAGAGAGAAAATGATTCGGCAGCCTTATGTAGATGATCAATCTCATATATATTGTAGGCTTGTTACCGAGACAGGAAATCCCGTTTCCTTAATAAGACAAGGAACTTTAAAAAAGCAAACCGTATTTTACCTTAGGGCTGTCTATCAACCTAGCCATAATGGCTTGTAAACCGCAGCTTATTCTTGAGAATCATGCCAGCTACGGTTTGCTCTGTAAACCACAGTTAAATAAAGCCTGATGGCGTGGTGGGCACTAAACAGAGCACAAGCCAGCCTTACCGACCAGCTCCTGGTAGCTGCACTAAGCCCTCAAGATCCCAGTCAGAGAATAACGAGCCTCGCAGGACCACCACTCCCTTCAGCTTTCTCCCCCCCCCACTTCCCCAGGCAGCTGAATTGGCAGGAGAGGCTCTCCTAAAGGGGCATCAAGCCCATCGGGCACCGTCGAGGACAGGCAGACGGGATTCGAGCGGGAGCGACGGACACACCCAACTCTGGGGATAGCAAATACCTTCCAAGGCAGCGCCTCTCAACAGCGGCTGGGGAACGACGAGAGACCGCTGTCTCTCCTGACCGGGGTGCGCCGTTTCCACGCTTCCCTCCACCCCAGGCTCGGAGAGCAACGACTTCAAAGAGAGACCCCCCACCCCACCCCACCCCCTCCACCCTCCCTGCCCAACGGCTGGCAAGTTAAGTATGAACCTCCACTTACTTCACTTCCAGGCTTCGCGGTCGCCGGAACGCCCTTCCGACGTAGCACAGCGCTGACGTCATCAACCGGTGCCGAGCGTCTCGGAAGGGAGCTGTGCCCGGAGAACGCTGGAGTCTGGCTTTGGTTTCATAAGGGTAGCATCGTCGCCTGTGGTCTGAAACAATTCACTATACCAGAGGTCCTCAAACTTGGCAGCTTTAAGACTTGTGGACTTCAACTCCCAGAATTCTCCAGCCAGCATGGCTGGCTGGAGAATTCTAGGAGTTGAAGTCCACAAGTCTTAAAGCTGCCAAGTTTGAGGACCTCTGCACTATACGAAGGCTTAGAACTCGCTATCCAAACTGGAGACGTTAGGGGTCTATTCCTGAGAACAGCCTTGGGAAAAAAGTTTTTTCTGGTCTCCGGTTAAAGGTTCCCCAGCTTTTCTTCCAGGAACGTATTGGCAGAATTCCCAAGGCTGCTCCATGCCCAGCTAGCATGGAACATCCAATTTGGAGGTACAATAAGAAAGATTATGGAGTCAGCATCCTGTGGGTCAGTCCGTTGCCCATGAAACCCAATACTGTGAATTCAATAAAGTCCGAGAAATGTGTTCTGAGTGTGTAAATGCACCACACGTACGTCAGAGCACATGGGATTTTGGCAATAGTGTGTTGGTTTGCCGGGTAGTGTTACAGTTCTGAGGTTGTAAACAACAGTATGAGGATGCTTGAGTTAAAACTAGGCATTGCTTGTGCTTGTAGTATTCTGGCCGAAAGGTGGAAAAAATGACTGGTAATATTTACTTTTCTTTAGCACCGAATATTCCATGTAGCAGAAAGGTACAACTAAGTCCATTAGTCTATGCAGTGATCCATGCAATGAAGGTTAGTTGCAACCCATCTGGTGAAGATTATGACACATGGAAAATTGAACCGTGGAATCTGAGAAGATGAAATGGTAGAGAAAGAATGAGCAAATGAAATGAAAAATGGATCAATTCTGTGCTTAGGAAACTAAAAGAGAAGAGTATAATATGATACGATCTTGTTGTCCTCCCCTATTTATTCACTCTATATGCAGAATATATATTGAAAGAATCTGGATTGAAAGATGAGTGTGGTTTTAAAATTTGAGAAACATCAGTAATGGCATGATGGCAATGGTCTGGTCTAGGGGTCTGTAACCTTTAACACCCAAAGAACCATTTGGACCTGTTTCCCACAGAAAAGAAAACATTGGGAGCCACAAAACCCTTCCCGTGCTTGACTATTTATTGAGTGGCCACAAAACTAGCAATATGTAGTTAAATTAAAAGTTCTGTTTTCTTCTGAATTGGATTTATCCATGGTTGGCCTACTGGGGGTTGAAAAACTCAATAAATCACGTACTGATGGATGTCGCACATTGGTGGTTATGACACATTTTGAGTGACGGTGCCGCAGCAGAGGGGTGAAAGAGCCAGATGTGGCTCCAGAGCTGCAGGTTGCTGATCCCGGGTCTGGTCCCTAAAAATTCTAATGATGGGCAAGCTCGAATAATAAAAGTCAAGGAGCACAGTGAAAAGTGGGCCTAAGACTAGATACAAGAAAATGAATGTCTGCAGCAACCAGCCTTAACAATGAGTACACTAAAGTGGTGGATAGCATCTCTTTTTTGGGATCAGCTATTAACAGTTAAGGATCTATCAGTCATGAAATACACTACAATTATACCTTGGTAGCATAGCAATGAATTCTTGCAAAGATACTCTAATGGCCTTATGTATCTATAGCTACAAAGACCAGAATTGTGCAGGGAATGGTTTCCCTATGACACACTGGAAGTTGGGCTTTCAACAAAAGAATAGTTATCGATACTTTTGAACAGTAGAAAAAACTTCTGAGAACAGCACGGATAGCCAAGAAAATAAATCAAGGAGTATCAAACAAATCAACCCATCAAAGGAATAGAGGACAACCAGGAGGATGGATGGACTCAGTTACAAGTAGCAATGGGTGCACCATTTGAAGACCTGAAGGACCAGGTTGTTGACAGATCCTTTTGGAGAATATCTGTATGGTTACTAAGAATCAGCATCAACTTGATGACACTTTAAGTAAATCAAATCAATGGGAATGATACTACTTTTGAAAATGGAATTGAAATCAATGCTGTCAATAGTAATCTTCCTTGTACCAATAATGAAATGGAACTCATAAATATTGAAAATTGTGATGCTGTAATTGAAGATGATAATGGAATAGTTGTGTAGTTTATTTAATGTACTGGTATGTGTAAAAACTTTATCCTATGCCCAGTGATTTGAAAAGTGTTTCTTTTTACTAAAAGATGGTATCAGGCCCCCAAACCAAGAAACACATATGATTATTCCAAGCAATTCCTTTGTTCCACACCTATAGACAGTATCTTGCCAAACTGCAGCACTCCATTATTTACATCAGGCATATCTGAGAACTATTATGGAGGGGCTGACTTCATCCTCTTTCGCAGCATTCCAGGTATGTGATCACCATTTGCAACCCTTACTTGCCTGTTTCCGACAAGGAAGGTCAACAGGGAAGCTGGCAAGAGGTTGCAAATGGTGATTGTATGATATTGCAACCATGTGTCAATGTCAGCAACTGGAACTACCAGACTTGCTGGAATCAGTGTGGTTGCATGACATCATGTTTTATGACCGCATTGCTTAATGACAGAATTTCAGGTTCCAATTAACTGTTGTTAACCAAGGACTACCTTTAATACACGTATCAGTAAATATGTAACAAATGCTTGTACTGAGATTAGAGATGTGTTGGAGATGTAAATGTGCATGTACTTTCACATGTAGATGGTGCTGTACAAGTAGTTCTTGACTTACAACAGTTAGTTTACTAACCATTCAAAGTTACAACAGCACTGAAAAAAGTGACTTATGACCGTTTTTCACTTATGACCGTTGCAGCATGGTCACGTGATCGAAATTCAGATGCTTGGCAACTAGCATGTATTTATGATGGTGGCAGTGTCGTGGGATCATATGACCATCTTTTGTGACCTTCTGACAAAGTCAATGGGGAAGCGAGGCTCATTTAACACCTGTTACTAACAACTGCAGTGATTCACCTAACAACTGTGGCAAGAAAGGTCGTAAAACAGACAAAATTCATTTAACAAATGCCTTGCTTATGAACAGAAATTTGGGGCCCAATTGTGGTTGTAAGACGAGGACTAACTATATTGTTGGCTGAAAAATCTGCATGATTTTCACCAAATGCTTGATGGATTTTAAGATATAAAATAAATGACATGGTGTAATATGTCATGTGTTGTTGTTCATCTGTTGTTGTATTTACTTACTAAGAATTGCTAAGCCCCAGATGATTTTTACTATGTCCTGATACATAAAATCATAGAACTCAGAGGGCATACTTTTGTATTCCGTTTCCCCCAAAATAAGACCCTGATAATAAGCCCAATTGGGCTTTTGAGCGCATGGCAATAAGGCCAAGCGCTTATTTCAGGGTTAAGACAGGATCTTATTTTCGGGAAAACACAGTATATACATTTATGGGTTACTGGCAGAACTGTCTTCTCCCTATTACATTGGCCTGTCTCAGCTGGTTAGGCAGAGAGGGTATGGTACAGACCCTTTCAGTTAAAGACTGTCAACTGTCAGGGTCCAGGAAGAGAACCTACTCTGCTTTCTCCCCTGCCCTTTGGAATTTTCTCCAAGAGGTGACGTGGCCTTTTGGAAGTATCTGAAGACTTGACTCTTCCAACTCACTTGGGTTTCTCAGAGAAGCACACAACCTTGGAGTCAGCACTTTGAAGGTCTTCCCCTCACCTTTTAAACTTTAATTTTTCTGTTATTGTTTTAGCTGCCTCCTAGTGAAATATATTGTTTTACTTGTACATTGCCCAGGATCATTCTGTGAGATGGGCAGTTTCTAAATTTGACGTATAAAATAAATAAATTCCTGTTCCTGCACACTTTGAAAGTATCTTTCTGGAACCGAATCCAAAGCACAATCCTATTAAATTGGCTTCAGCCCAGATCCAGAATTATTTTGATTCAGGATAAACAACATCTTCAAACTGAATTATTGTATTCAATATTTAATGCTAACATTTTCAAGACAGAAATTTGGATTATTGATAGGTCAGAAGTTCAAATAATGCATATTTGGTTTAGTGCAAATTGTAAATTGATACCAAGACATGTTTAATGCGACCCAATATTCAGTTAATCAGATGCTAGTGCATGTGCAAATGTGGTTGGGATTTTAGATGTTAATCTTCATGTGTGCAAAATGGAGAAAAGGAAGACTATCTGAGAAAAATGTTACAAGTTTAAAAAAGAGGGGGTTTTTTGAGTTACAATGCCTGGTCATAAAAATGGGGGAAGTCTTGTTTTTTATTCAGGATCTAGAATGTCTTCTGAAAACACAGAAATTGGCAAAGCAGGAAAGTGGGTGGGAGAGGTTTATGAAGAAGGTACAAGACAGAGGCAAATTTTCAAAATCAGTAAAACTTTATTCTATTTCCATTCTTTGCCATTAACAGAAAAATTGGAGAAAGCAATGTTTGTTTTACAAAGATAATGCATCTCCCAGAGAAGAAAAACCCTAAATTGAGAATAGAGGTAACATGGAAAAAACACAGTACTGCCCTCTATTCAAAGTAAATAACTCCTGATCTTTTTGGTTAAAGTAATACTTAGACCAATCATTCAGTTTGCTTGCTTGATAAAGTGTGGCTGAGGAAGGGACGGGATGGGGAGGGGGGGGGGCCTGGAAGGAAGGGAGGAAAAAAAAAAGCACACAGACATCAACTATTTCACCTTGATGAAAGTCTCAATACAGCTATGGAAAGCCTAAGTATTCTTTTACAGTACACTGGGTGTTGGCTGCAAAAAAAATGTATTCACTTCAGGCACAAATTTTTAATTTTTTT